CCCCCCCCCCCCCCCCCCCCCCCCCTCTAGCCGCCAGCCTACTTCCTCCCTGCTCCCTCAAGGTCTCTAACAGCCGGCCGCACCCTTCCCAGCCGGCTGCCCACCTATCCAGCCCCCAACCTGAATCCAACCGCCCTTATCTGCAGCTATCCTTGCTGTGTAACCCATCCCACCATCACCCAACACCTTGCCACTTTCTTCTCTGCAGCCTGCCTTGCTGTCCCATTCCTTCAGCCCTCGAAACGCCCACTAAATCCCTTCCCAACTACTGTACAGCCACCAACCTTTCCCCTTCTCCTTGCTGCTTCGCCAACGCCACAACCGGCGCTAGCCAAAGGTTGTTGTTTCTATGTCATATTTCCGTTTTGAGCTATGCTGTAACCCTGATCTCTTTGTTGAATAAAGTTTGCTTTTGTTTTTGTTGTTTCGAATTAGTTCCGGTATCATAAAATTATTGTGAAACAATTGGAAATAAAAAGTATAGATCAAAAGTCACTTGGCTAGAAATTGTGCAAAAAATACTCAACAAAATAATGCTAACATCTTATGTAGCACACCAAAAAAAAAAAGATTCAAAATCAAGCATTCATAAAACCAACCCCAAGTAGTGGAATAAGGACAATGATGATGTGATGATAAAAAATGGCCATGTAGATGACATGATCAACACAATATTGATTATTATTCCATACACATTTTTGCATTTATGGAACTTTTACAATACAAAATAAAAGTTTTTTTTTAATCCGCTTAAGAATTGTGATATCTTTTTTATTAATTTTTCTTTTTGCAAAGAGTGATAGATTTAACGAAACCAGATATATTAACCTTCAAGAAGCTAGATTCACCTGTAGCTAACAGGGCATCATGATATATTTCAATAAGAGATAAAAGTCCAACTTCCATACCAATCGAGATGAAGCTTCCAACTGCAGAACTGCTCCGCGTATTTCACCGAGAGCATTGAAATCTCCGTCTTCCAACTTTCTCTTGAGCGCATCCACATTATGAGCTACATCCTGAGAATCAAGGGACAACATGGAAATTATAAAGAAGATTTACTACCATTCAATTTATATGCATCTACCTATCACCTAAAACTTCAATTTTTACATGTAAGCCACGTTGTCTATGCATGAAAAGATGTATTTCACTTCTTAAAAGTTAAAATAGTGGTATTTTAAAGGCGATATAAAAGATTTGGGTGATACAAATATATAAAGTACAATTTAGTCATTAGATATGTAAATAGGTGGTATGTATGTAAATGCCCACAACACATTCAGAGTACATGAAATTGAAACATTCCTAAACTAATAAAAGTTGAATGCATGCTGCATTAATAAAAAATAAAAAAGACAAATGAAACAATTAGACGGTTTCGAGATAATAAATCTCACCTTATTTATATTGTCAGACAGAACCTTCTCAAAAACTCCAAATGGTAGAGCAATTGATGTTGGGATTTCTATCCAAGAAGGCACTTTTCCTTTGAGAAATGATATATTACGTGATTTAGCCCCAACCTGAAAAAAATAGACATTTCTACAGATCATTCTAAAAGCAAAGAAAGAAGATCGATGTGACCCATCACAAATAATTCAAGACGATGCAAAAATGACAAGGTTGAAAAGAGGATAAAATAATTTTTCAAGGTGATAAAAGTAAAATGAAACCATTTCATTCGTAAACTCCTCGGCAACTATAGCATATTGACCGGCAAAACTCTTCCTGACTATGTTTAGAGATGGAGTTCTGCCATCACTTGTATCTCTAGAACTTGCTTCAGTTAGTTCACCCTCAGTGATCTCACTATAAAATTGAAAACATGAACAATGTTATCTTTTAGAGCAACCTAAGAAATAAAAATAGAGCAAGCCTCTTCTGAGCAGCTCATTATTGGGGCATTTACATACACACCACACAATTCTTATGAATTAACATATCTAACACCTAAATATTATATATACAGGCATATCGCAAAAATCTTTAACATCACATCAACAATACCATCGCCACTAACTTTTTAAAAGTGAAATAAACCTTTTCAAACATACGTGTATAACACCAAGGTGTTAGAAGTGTAAATATGAAATAATGGGTTAGATAAGTAAATACATAGGAATTCTGCGGTATGAAGGTGAATTTACTCATTTTTTTTACAAGGATATGAAACTGGACCATTACGCTTTAATCATTTTTGTACATTATTCTGATAAGGAGAGATAAATTAAATGGGTTTTTTTTTTGCATTTACATACATTCCACCTAAATTTTACTTCAACATTTATACCACCCAAATTGCTCATATCACATAAAAAATACCACAATTTTAACTTTAAAAAAAGTGAATACACCTTTCCATGCATAGGCAAATTGGTGTATATATAAATATATATATATATGGAAAAATTGAAGTTTAGGTGTTAGATATGTAAATACATACGAACTGAGTGGCAAATCATCCTTTTTTTTTTTGGTCTTTTTTTAGCAGAAAAAAATGTTATTGTTCACCTGTAAATGATCTCCGCAGAAGTAGGTTTTAGGAAAAATAATTTTCCTACATTTCTTTCAAATTCAGCCAGAATATTGGGATCAAAGCAGGTGGCAAAACATACCTAAAACAATAAAAATATAAACAATGATAACATTTATTCATAAACCAAATAAAATTTAAGAGAATAACAACTAATGCTGAACAAACTCAAACCTTGCTATTTCTTGCACGAACGGAGACATGAGAAAGAACATCTGGCATATCAGATGTTAGTACAGCAACAGCGCCATCTGGAATTTCCTCTTCTCCCTTTACACTTTTGGCCACCAAAATTGTAGGCCGGTCGTAGGATTTGTTCTGGACAGAAAGCAACTCATTCACCGTGACTATATAGCCAGAAACCTCAGCAGGACTTATGATTTGCCAACTGCACTAAAAATTCAAGACCATATCAGGAAGCTGAACAAACTTTAAATAGAATAAAAAGAAAAAAAGATTATATCCATTCTCATTTATGAAAAAATATTAGGTCAGGACTCCGGATGCATCCGGAGTCCAATGGTGGGGCGCCACGTGTTAAGTGGGCCCCAAAAATTTTAACACTGACCAATCCCAGTGTATTACAGTGGACCCACTTGACACGTGGCGCCCCATCATTGGACTCCGGACGCAAATTATGTCCGGAGCCCGGATGTAATATTTGCACCTCATTTAGGGGCGGTTTGGTTTGTTTAAAAAGAAATACAATATAAAAAGAATGAATATAGATGATGGCAGAGGAGGGCGGTGACGACAACCAGTGGATATTGATTATGGCAGCTGGCAACACTTTACGGAAATGATGTATTTAAAATTCACTCAAATCTAGTGAATTTCAAATACATTGAAATCAACTAGAGAATGAATTCCAGATGCATTGTTAATTTTACACTGCATTTAGAGTTCATTTGACCAAGCACCCAAATTTTTGAAACTCCTATCAAAAATATAGTGCACTACTTTTGTAGCAAACCAAACAGCACCCCCTCACTGAAATCATTCTTGGAAATTAATTCAGGCTAAAGAAAACTTCAAAATTTTATGGGACACTACAATCTAGTGAAGATAAAACTAACTGGACCTTCCAAGTTGTGCCAACTTCCTAAGAATCGGATCAATCCGATTAAGTAATGTTGATAATGCAGCAGCAGAACCAGCTCGAATTATTTCCTCAGTAAAAATGTTAACCTATAAAGTAGCCAAACAGTGTTAATCTTCAATAAAAAAGGTCGGTGCATCAAACTCTAACTTCCGATGATCTATGATCATATAATTTGTTAAATTTAGCATGTATCCATATACTTACAGCCCACTGATTTACTCCTAGCAATGATCCTAAGTATTCAGCTGAGGGCTGAAGAATTTGATGGAAATATTCAGCCTTGCTTGATAAGGCAAGTCGAGTCCTATCGAGAAATGCCTTCGCAAATAATGCCCATTGATTATCTTTTCTTTTGGACAACTCCAGTGCATGGTTCCATCCCTTTTGCACAAATAAAAGCACAAACGTATTTAATTTTGCCAAGCATGGTGATATATAGAGCAATGCTAAGCTTAAGAACATGTGCCACAGAAATTTAATTTTGCATTTATAATAAAATGGAAAAAAAAAAGGAAGATACATACCACTCAATTGTTAGGCATTTACATATCTAACATCTAAACTTCAATTTTGCATACATATCTGATACGATTCGACGCCAATGTTTTCGGATCAATCCCTTCAATCCCACCGTCGCTTACCGAGAAGCACCTACTGCCATAGTGGATTTTGAAGAATATCTTTCCTTTTTTTAAACAAAAAAAGCATTTTTTTTAAAGAAAAAAAAACTTCCCCAGAAATCTATTGGGCTCAGCAACGGTGATGGAATAAGGAATATTCTAAGATTTCCTTAAATTAATTTTCCCTGTGACGATGATTCCCTTCCTTAATTAATCCTTCCTTTTTCTGCTTTGCTGTTTCCAAAGAACTCCTTCCCTGGATACTGCGTAACTTTCCCTGGGCCTCTTGTTGCCACTAGGAGCCGAACTGCACGGACTCCACACAAAACAGCCGCCGGACCGCCGGAAACTGTCAGAGTGGTGATGGATTGCCGAACCACAGCCGGAACTGCAGCAATCGCAAAAATAAACATTCCAGGAATGCAGGATTTGCTGTTTTCGACGTCAAACCACAAACCCAAATCACGAACTAGAACCAGAAGCTCTGATACCAATTTGATATAATTCAACGCTAAAATCGAAAGGTCTTTCCACAGAAATTAGGACAACACAATTTTATTGTAAAAACCCAAACAACTCAACAAGAACACAAAGATAAACACCTACAATTCGAGAGGTAGCCGGTCTCTCCCAATCCATACAATTCGGGAGGTAGGAAATTTCTCGCAAAACCTAGACATGAGACTCACAAATCCAATCTCATGCATAAACCTATCCATAAACATAATAAGCTTATTTATACCCAACAATAATAATAATAAAAGACTAAATTGTCCTTAAACTTACAAAAGACGAACTTGCCCTTAGTCTAAACATAGATGTAACAACATCACCTTACCTATGTATGAAAAAGTGTATTTCACTTTTTAAAAGTTAAAATGGGGGTATTATTTATGTGATATTAAAGATTTGAGAGCTATAGATGTTAAAAGCAAACTTTAGATGTTAGATATGTAAATATATATAATGGGTGGGTAGTATATGTAAATGCCAACAAAAAAAAAAATGATCATCAGCAAATAAAATAATAAGCAAATGGAACCATATACAAGCATACAATTCTCCAAAAAGTAAAAAATTCAATCAATTCAGGTAATCAAAAATAATGGCAAAGCATAATCAAATAAAACCTCATTTGCTTCAATTAGCAAATGTTTTAGCTAATAAATGCACAAATGCATAGAACTACAACGTATTTAGCATTATCAAATTGTAGATGTCATATAAATTTTGTATCTTGAGTAATTCTTATTGTTATCAACCATATGCATCTTGTAAGAGTGTTTAAAGATGCAAGATCTAAACTTAATAGTTGAGCAAAGAATCAGCGTTCATCTCTTAGGCATGAGAAAATATCATCAACAATCTCAATTTAGAAAAGAGATTATGATTCAAAGAGAAAAAATTTATTTAACAAAATTTAAATAAAATACATAACACATTAATCAGTCCGAAAAAATAAAACGAACAAATGTCTATGTAATTTTCTTTCATTTAAGGTTTAGCTGATTTACACAGGAAATTGTCTCTACAAATATGAAGGGAATGAACTGCAAGTAAAACGTATAGCCAAAGCTTTAAATTCATATGAGATATTTTCATGCCAACATTACAGAACAAATGAGATATTTAAAAATATGCTATCTCTAGAATTAAATTCATTAGTTATAAAATGATGCTATAGGGGAAGACAATGAAACATAGACTTAGATTGATAATAAGGGTACTTATATTTTGTGATTCGTGGCCCGAGTCACCCATCATATCATAAATTTGAGCTACATACTTTATAATTTATCACTCACCACAGAGGATGTTTAAATTAAAAAATGACCCAATATCGATTTATTTCAATTTTAAATAAGTTTCAAACCACATGTTGGTGATGGAGATCTTGGTATTTGCATAGATCAGAAATAAATTATCAGTTAAATTCAATTGGTTTTAAACTACTTATTTAATAGTAATTTAAAATTTATGTATTATGAAATGATATGATGACTACCAATGAGAACATTAATGTTCATTATTAACTTAAATCATTGATTTAGTTTGTTCTATATGATTTGGCATGGGTTCAAGCTAGTTTTGCTCGAGGTTGATCCCAGATTCAGATACTTATAATTTGTTTTACTGTTTTGAACCTCCTATGTAGAGAAATTTGGATATTTTTTGCCTATCTATTCTAGGTCTTGATTTGCTTCTTACAAGATTTTGTATTTGAAATTATCAGTGTACCAGCCTTTGTGCAGAAAACCATATTGTTAATTTTCGTTTTAAGACACTAGAAATCTCTATTTTCTAGTTAAGCATTTTAGAGTTCATGTGGCTTGTTGCTACAACAACCTGGATTTTTCACACCACCATTTAATACTTGGAAAATTTAATGGACTCGTTTCTACTCTAGTATTTATGTTAAGTGCTACTGCTTCCAGCATATAACAAAGAAAGATTTACATACATACCGCTCAATTCCTATGTATTTACATATCTAAAACCTAAACTTCCATTTTTACATACATGCCGCATCAGCTATGCATAGAAAAGGTGAATTTCAATTTTTAAAAGTCAAAAGTAGTGGCATTTTTTATGTGATATGAAAGATTTGGGTGGTGTAAATGTAAAAGGTAAACTTCAATTGTTAGATATGTAAATACATAGGAATTGGGCAGTATGTATGTAAATGCCCCTACAACAAAATGCTGAGCTCCGTTCAAGTGATTAATTTTGAAGATGAAGAGGACAGGATAGGCAAAAGCCATGCTGACCAGTCCCATCAATAATCATATTTGCATAAACCCACCAAAGCATGACCATGTAATTAATAATTTACCTGATTGGTACCAAAATAATTATGATCCAATTACAAGAAATATTCTAAGAAACTTCTCCTTCAATGCACATATAAAAAAGTAAATGTATTATAATAAAGAGAAATCTAAAGAAAAAGGCCAAAGATAAGATTATAATACCTTTAAGCAGTATATAAGATCCTCATTGTTATCCGAAGACAATGCAAGATTTTCAAGGACCAAAGAGATAAAGTACATGATTTTCTGCAAAAGAAACAAACAAAGCATGCCAAAGGAGGATGACCATAATGTTCAACATCTGCTACGGGGACGTTTGAGACCAAATTTAATTATTATTATATATATATATCATATTTGATATATTATAACATGTTTAGCTGTTTTTAAAAACACTCGAAGTAAGTTTTCGATGTTTTGTGTATTTTTAAAAACAAGCTAATTTATGTTTGAAAATAAAATAAAAACATGAAAAAAATGCATTAAACAAATATGTTTTTAAAATAAAAATAACATATTTAATAAATAAAGACATCCCAAACAAGCCCTAATAGAAGAAAATCAGATAAAGAATTCCTAAGAGAATTATTAAAAAAATAAAAGGTTAAAAACCTCTGGTTCTGCATTGTTGAGCTCCTCGTATCCCCTCTCGATTGCAGTCCTAACTGCAGAATCAAGAGCAATATCCAAAAAAATGATATCCTTTAAACGCTCCTGAGAATTCAGTAGCAAAGGACGAAGCTCTACTCTAGCCTCCAGCAAAGCCTGAAAGGATAAAACATTGCTTGAAGATTCAAATCAGGACGGAAGTAATAAACAAAAACAAACTCCTTGATATTGTGCCCTCTTCATGCGGCATTTTCTAGATAAAGATGAAAGAAGAACGGGACATTTACATACATAGAACCCGATTCCCATATATTTACATATAAAAAAAAGTGTATAAAGTTCCCTCAGTTTGCAGGCAGCTATTTTCGTATAACAGCTTATAAAGATGTCAATTCAGTCCATAGATTCTTTGAATAAGAGCTGAATAGACCTCTGTACTTTTTCAGCTCTTATTAACAGAGTCTGGATAATTTATATTTTATAAGCTTTGGGGCTAAAAAGACCCCATATAAATAATCAGAGAAATATTTTAGCACGTTAATGTCAACATATCTGACACCCAAATTTTACTTTTTATTTTTATGCCACCAAAATCTTTCATATCACATCAAAAATACCTCCATTTTAAGTTTTAAAAGTTTCCATGTAAAGGTAAGGTAGCATGAATGTAAAAATTGAAATTTAGGTGTTAGATATGTAAATACATAGAAATCGAGTATGCATAAAAATCTTCCAAGAAGAATTTATGCACGCTGAAATTGCCTTTCATAAAATTTGCCTTGTACAGTTAACAAGATCACCTCAAGCAGCGGTTCTACCGTTTTATCTTCAATATGAGCAAGGATAAACTCCAACAGCTCCTGTTTATGAGTTGAAATCCCAGATATTAGCTACTTTCATTAAAGAGAGTTGCTGTCATAAAGAAAAATATCAAAGAGAAAGAGTTACAGGAAACCCCGAGGCTAATCCTTTTATAGGATTTATTTGAACTCCTACCATAAAGCCTTCACCCTGAAGAATAGAAAACTAAACATTTAACAAAGGGTAAAGAAATTTAAGAAAAATGTATATTTAGGCGAAAATCACACCTCAGATTTGTAACCTAAACAAGTTGCAATAGCAGACTCAAGGTCAGCGCCAGAGTGCACTGCCTGCAAAGATAATATCAGGAGACTATCCGTTGACACTAATACTATGAAGCAAAAAAGGATGGCGTAGCTAGATAAATTACAGACTGGAACAATACAACTTCCAAAGGAAAATATTTAGTACACACTATATATATATATATATATAGAGAGAGAGAGAGAGAGAGCCATTTATATACATACCAACCAATTAAGTATTTACATATCTAACGCCTAAACTTTAATTTTTACACTTATACAGCCAAATCTTCCATATCACAACAAAAGTACTACCTTTTTAACTTTTAAAAAAGTGCAATACCTCTTTTCATGCATAGGTAAGATGGTATGTATAAATAAATTGATGTTTTGATGTCAAATATGTAAATACATCACAATTAAGTGGTATGTATGTCAATCACACACACACACCAGTCTAATTGCTCGTGCACCAAATGCATGTGAATAAAATTCATAAAATAAACAGTTATATTATGAAATTTAAAATTATATTTAATTAAATTATCATTTTCTTTCATAAAAAAGATCAAAATAATATATTTATAAATACAATTAGATAAAATAAATAATCAACTAAGAAATTAGATCAAAATTAAAAAGATATACTTATAAACTCTAAAAACATTATTTAAAATGTATGAATTAGTTGTTTAAAAACTAAATTAATTATTATTATGATTTAATAGTTGTAAAATTATAATTAATATTAAAATCATTTTTAATTTTAAAACGATAGTATTTAATAAAAAAAAAACGTATCACGTTACTTAAAGCATTTCAATTATTAGTTTAATTATTCTTATTATTTAACACTTGTAAAATTCTAATTAATATAAAAGTTATTTTAAATTATATAAAAATAATAAAAAATTCATATTATAAGAAATGGTATTTTTTGAAAAATTAAGAAAGAGATAAACATCCCAATTGATATTTCATTTCACAACAAATAAAAAAATAATTACGGGTAAAAATTTATATCCTTTTGATTATTCTAAGGAAATATATGCCACTTTCAAAACATCTCAAAACTAAAGTTTTAGGAAAAATTATCGTTTATATGACAAATATAGAATTTAGTCAAATCATACTTAATACATTGAGTTGTGATCAAACTTTGTTCAATAAAATGTTACATGTTTTCATCATTTTTTAATTATCACTAAAAATAATTCCTTGCCGTCTTTAACTATTTAAATTTTAAACGTAAAAATTTTATAAAATAAAAATTACAAAAGAAGGAAATAAATTCCTATAGAAATTATAACATTTCAACCCTGGAAGATGAATATGTAATTATTTGTAGGAATATAGAGTTTTTGTTTTATTAAAGACAAAAAAAGAAAGTTAACTTGTCATGCACCAAGGGTGAAAAAGATATTTCTTTTTTTGATTTATTTTGTATGTTTCATCCAAAAATAAGTTTTGTTGATTATTTTCTAAAAGATATAAACACATATTGACAAAAGAAGATTAAAATGATCATAAAATAAAAAATTAAAATTCAAAGCATAAAATTAAAAATGTAAGCATGCTTACCAAACAAAATTTATAGCAAGGACATAGCAAATAATTAGCCTACTTCAGATGGTTAAAAGCCGACGGTTAACGTTACAAAATCATCGGTTAATATATTTTCAATAGTTTAGCGAAGCTTTATTAGTGGTGGGTAAATCGCTTATCAATAAATAGAAAAGCCACGCATTTACCGCTTATCAGTAATATTGCCTGAGTGTTGGCTTCAACTCTCCTTCGACATTTCAAAGGTGGCCGCCACTTCTCTACGATATACCTAGTGATTTAGGGTTTAAATATTATAATTTTAAAAATATATTTTATAACTTTAAAAACTTAATTTTCCACTACTTATCACTACACATCAGGTACAAACGCAAGTGCATGTATCGTTCAAGTAATATAGGACTTTCTATAGTTTCGAGTATCGATCCCACGGGGAAGACTGTAAATTTGACGGACTTAAGGAAAGCTCTAGCTGCATTTAAGGAGTTTTAGCTAGGAAATAGGTTTGATTTTTAGTGAGCTAGGGAATTCTACTTAACTACTACTAACTTCTAATTTTACTATTCAGCTAAGTAGACTAGCTAAATTAAGCATAAAGTTCAAGCTAATTAGATGTTTCCTCCCATTGTAATAAAACTAGTAGCTAGTGTAGGTGTAAATCAACTAGAATCTCTAAATAAACAAGTGACAAATAGGAGCATGTATTTTCTTTACCTTTTTTCAAGAGCATAATGAAACTAGGTTAACCTAAGAATTGTTTGTCTGTCACCCTAAAAACCTCCTAGTTATCCCTGTTAAAATCATCTCCCTATCTATTTGCACTAACCTAAGGATTACTTTTTTTTCACCCTAAAAATTAGTGTGGTTTTCACTAGTCGATTGAAGTCGTAGCCCTCCTGGATCTTATGGGTTCAAAACGAATTTTAACACTACAACTGCAATGTAAATAAAGTCCAAATGAAAAACCATCATAATCAATTAATTAACATGATTCTAATTTAATCTACTCCCTACAAATGCTGTTATTTCATCACAAAATGAAGGAAACAAGGTATCTACTTAGATTTCATGAAGAAAACCATAAAGCACGACATTTATATTAAATCAAAGTCAAATACTATGAATTACTTCAATACACTACAATGAAAATACAATATATTTATCTTCTTCCCTGAGAAATGAAGAAGAATTCCACCCCAAAGTGTTCTCCTTGCAGTCTTACAGCAATTCCTTACACATCTCACAGTTCTCAAAGTAAAAAAAAAAAGAAGGAAAACTCCCACTTTTTCTTCGCTTCCCCGCCCTGCTCTCTACCTCCTTGACTTCCCCAATGATTTCTCTATTCGTCTCATCTGCCTCTCTGAACAAAAACCCTTCATTTCGTGTGAAAAAACGCTGAAAAATTGTCCCAGACAGTTCTGACGCCTAGGCGCCCAACTGTGGCGCCTTAGCACCGCCTCCTCTATCGGCTGGGGAAATGACATGGCGCCTATGCGTCAATATGTGGCGCCTATGCGCCAAAATGTGGTGCCTAGGCGTCAATTTCTCTAGAAATTCTACAGGGTCCGACACCAAAAGCTAGCGCCATGGCGACATGGAGTGGCGCCTAGGCACCAGTCCAGGTCCAAGCATCCATTGCTCCATGTGCTCTGTTTCGTTCCATTTTCACTCAAGTTCGCTCCAACTACTTTACCTATTATACTTGCAACAAAAACATGAAAACATATTCCATTAAAGTGCAATATCATCCAAAATAAGTATTAAATACAAAAGAAAATTTAGCATATTTAAAGGACATATCAAAAGGTCGCCAAAAAAAAATTATTAAGAAAAGTTAGAGGCTAAATAAACTTTAATATTTATTTGGATTGTACGCTAGTTCCTAGGATTTTCTATCGATTCAGGTCTGGTACAACTGCCACTTATGGGTGCGAGCGTGGAAATCTGCAGCGGTTGGCACTCGTTTCAACTCTACAAACTTTTAGTGTAATGAAATAATTAGCATGTATATATATTTATTTTACAATAATATTTTTGATAGAAAATCCCAACAAGAATAATTCACAATTGTAATGGGGGCTTAGGATCAATTAGAAACTAAATCACGCTGCAAAATAACGGGATCACACAAAATTCGAGAAAACCAGAATAAAATTATGAAGAGAAGCACAATTAAAACAACTTAAAAAACACATGAGTTACATGGAAAAAAATGAGAACAGAAAAAAAACCATGAAGCCACGCCAGCAAAAATTTCATAATGAAATTCAGAAAGTTTTTAAAAGGAACTTACAGGATGTGCTCCACAATCTCCACTCTCTGATCTGACGCAAAAATTATGTCGAATCACCTAAATCCACATATTCTACTATTCTCATCTTCACTGGGATGCTTGTCGAAGAAAACACGAGAAGAAAACACCAAGCCTTGATGTTTATGCTGCTTGAAATCGGACATAAAAAATCAAATCCCGCATGTCAACTGCTCCTAGAGCCTATGCGCTCAGACTTGACGCATAGGCACCGATCTCTCTGTATCGGTGCTTATGTGCTCAAAGGGGGAGCAAAAGCGCCCCCTCCTATGTCAGCACCCACTTAAAGTGAGCATATGAGCCAAAGGCTAACGCATAGGCGACGACTCTTCTGTGAGGAGCGCCCATTTGGCGTTTGAGCGCCATGGTTGACACTTATGCACAATAGATGAAATCAGACAAAGAGTGTCTTCAATGTTGCCTCGAGCCATCACTAATGCCCCCTGGCCACCTTCCACATCACCTGTGAAAGTAGTCACGAGCCCTGACTTTGCCAGCTAGCTCACAAAGATAAAATGTTTCTTCAAACTTGAAACGTGTCTAACTTCAGTAAGCTTCCCGACTATTCCATTTAGCAACATGATATCAACATCAATATTTCCTACTATATTGCAGGCATTGTTATCTCTCAAATAAAATTTTCCTAGATCACTCTAAGTATAGTTTTTAAATACCTCTTTATTGGGGCATGCATAAAAAGAGACACCTAAATCTACTATTAAAAATTCAGTATTGATTAGGGATAAAACCAGGGAGTCATTTTGGATTTCAACAGTGTGACCAGCTTTCCTTTAAGTTTTGCAGTCCATCTTGAAATGCCCCTTCTTACTGCAGTTTCAGCATTCTCCTCGGCTTAATTTGGTTTTTCTTTTCTTGGACTTAGATCTGCTTCTGCTTGTATGTCTGCCCAAATTCTTTCCCCTTATTATCAGCATTAAATTCAGAACCTAAAGATTCACCATTCACTGTTTTTCTGTGAACTTTTTCAATCGGCATCAGACTCACGATGTCATCGAAGTTCAACTTCAAAGTCTCTGAAAAATTACTCACCATCGTTATCAAACCAACCCAGTTGTCCGGTAATGAAGATAGTATCACCAGTGCTTTGATTCTATCATCAAACTTAATCCTCACAGAACACAACTTGTTCATCATAGTGTTGAAATTTTTG